GCTCAGAGGGAGGAGAAGGAGAGCTCAGAGGGAGGAGGAGGAGCTCTCAGAGGGAGGAAGACGAGCTCTCAGAGGGAGGAAGAGGAGCTCAGAGGGAGGAGAAGGAGAGCTCTCAGAGGGAGAGGGAGGAGGAGGGAGCTCAGAGGGAGGAGGAGGAGGAGGAGAGTGCGCCGATCTCTCTCTCTCTCTGATTTTTTTTTTTTCGAATTTTTTGTGTGTTTGTTGACAGTGTGTTTGTCTGTGTGTGTGTGTGTGTGTGTGTGGCTTTTTGACTTTGGGCTTTGTGGTTTGGGAGGTAAAAGAGGAAGACGTTGCTGTTAATGTAGATGGGTGTACGAGTTATTGAAGCTACATTACGAGTTTGTGAATAAAACGAAGAAGATAGTAATGTATAGAAGATAGGTTCTTGAAGATGTATTTGAGGTTAGAGAAGTAGTTGGTAATGGTTAAATACGCATCAGGTTGTTGTTTCTGTGTTTGTAAGGACTGCCTTGGTTGACTGTCAAGACAACTACTGTTTGTGCCACCAGTTCTTCCACATATTAAATGTCAGATGTTTTATTTGTCAGATTTATTCAAGCGGTGTGCGCGCCCCCACACACGCACACACACTCTGCCACACGGATGCAAAGGGATTTCCATACCCATAGTAACGGGTTCAAGGTAAATAACCCTTCGGATGGCCACACTTGTGAAGTGGGTTCATCACACGCAGTAAACGGCATTGCCACACACACTGCTTTTGCTATTTTTGCTCACTTTAACCTCTCCGTCCCTCTCTGTTGCTCTTTCCGTTTCTGCCTCTGTCTCTTTTGCCTCCTTTCGTCTCTGACTTGTTAGTCTTTTCAACGAAAAAATTGCCCCTGTATCTCTTGCTGTTTCCCCTGTCTCTTTCCGCCAGCCCTCTCTCTGCATTTTTTCCTCTCTCCCTCTCTCTCTCTGTCTCTCTCTCTCTCAAAATGGCGGCGATGCGGTCAGTGGTGACGGCGGCGGCGGCGACGGGACGCCGGATCGGCGCTCGCATGGGATGGCGCGCGTATGGAGTGGAACAGGGCTCTAGGCGGAGTGCATTGGATGTTGTGGCCAAGCAGCTCGAGGAGATTGAGGCCGCTGGAACCTGGAAGACGGAGCGTGTCATTACCTCCACACAGGCCGCTTCCATTAACGTGGCCAACCGCTCAGAGCCCGTGAGTGACCCGCCCCCACCCGGCCGTGCCGGCCCATGCAACTTCACGGGGTTGTAGTTCTGGTACAAGGCCACGCGCTGCCCAAGGCAACCTCAGACGCGCTCCTGAATCTTTGCGCTATTAGGTCCTCAACTTTTGTGCCAACAACTACCTTGGCCTGGCCAGTACGTGCCTGGCCTGGTCGTCCTCTTTGCCGGGGCTTCATCGATGAGTCCAGCTCCCGCGCCGCCTCATTCCGTCTCGTTCATGCACTGCACCTGGACACAGATAACCCAGAGGTCATTGCCGCTGGCAAGGCTGCCATGGACACCCACGGCAACGGTCTGGCCTCGGTCCGCTTCATCTGCGGCACACAGGACATTCACAAGAACCTCGAGGGTCTCGTTGCTGAATTCCATGAAATGGAGGTCTGAATCCGCTCTCTTCTTCAATTCTCGCCCGTGTCCTCGTGCGCTCGTGCCCTTGTACTCGTGCTTCTTTCCACCCTCATCCCCGTCTCCAAACTCCGTTTCATGGCCAGGATACCATCCTATACGCCTCCTGCTTTGATGCCAACGCGGCCATCTTCGAGACCCTCTTGTCCCCAGAGGACGCCGTTTTCTCCGATGAGCTCAACCATGCATCCATCATCGACGGCATTCGCCTCTGTACGCTCGCGCCTTGAAGCGGGCCCCATCTTCCTGCTCCACCCAGTCGATGGTCGATGCACCATTGCATCGTCTCACGCGCGCTGTTCTCCCTCCTGACTCCAGGCAAGGCACAAAAGGCCCGTTTCCGCCACCGTGACATGGGCCATCTGCGTGAGCAACTCCAGGAAAAGAAGGATGCTCGCATCAAGCTCATTGGTAGGTCTTCTTCTTTTTAACCAGCCTTTTTTTTTTTTTTTGGTCTCCACAACTGTGCCAACGAACTTGGCTGCTTCCTTGCTTTCTCTTTTTACACCTTTTTTTTTCGCCCTGCGCTTCGGGGCCTGTGTTTGTGCTCACGCTTGGACACCATGCAGTGACAGACGGTGTCTTTTCGATGGACGGAAACATTGCCCCCCTATGTGAGATTTGCGACCTGGCCGACGAGTTTGACGCCCTCGTCATGATTGATGAATGCCACGCAACCGGCTTCCTCGGCCAGGTGGGTATCCATACTCCACATGGTCATGCCAACACCCCATCTTGCAGGGTCCTATCACTTTGGCACCCCCCATGTGTCTCAACCTCCTCTCCTGCTTTGCACACCGCCATGGCATCATCATGACCCTCCAGCGCGGTCGCGGTACGGATGAGCTACTGGGCGTCAAGGGTCGCGTAGACATTATCAACTCTACCATGGGCAAGGCGCTGGGCGGTGCCATGGGTGGCTACACGACCGGCCCCAAGGAAGTGGTTGCTCTGCTGCGCCAAAAGGCTCGCCCATACCTCTTCAGCAACACCCTGCCACCGGCCGTGGTGGGCGCCACCACCAAGGTCTTTGAGCTCCTCATGAGCAACTCGGATCTGGTTGAAAAGGTAATCGCTGCGCTTTTGCCGCTGATCTTATTATCCTTTGGCCAAGGCCGTCCCAAGCCGGCACGGACACGATGGCGGCTCTCGCAACGCGACTCGTGTGTCTTCCACGCACGCTCACGCATGTTCACACCCCGTAACCGACAGGTGCAAGCCAACACCCAACGCTTCCGAAAGGGCATGGAGGCGGCTGGATTCGTGGTGGGCGGTGATCCCGAGCACCCCATCTGCCCCATCATGTTGGGGGATGCGCGCCTTGCCTCGCAGTTTGCCGATGAAATGCTCAAGGAGAACATTTACGTTATTGGCTTTTCCTTCCCGGTACGTGCGGCCGGAACTTTTGGCTGCATGGATGCACCCACCTCTGCTGACTTGTGTGCCTTGATGTTCATTTGCACAATGCGACAATGGATAGGTGGTGCCCAAGGGCAAGGCCCGCATTCGTACCCAGATTTCTGCGGCCCACAGCGAAGCAGATATCGACCGGGCCATCCAGGCGTTCCGGGCTGTCGCCGACCGGCTCAACTTTGACCCGGCCAACGTGAAGCTGGACTAATTCTTCTTCATTTTAAATTCGGCCTTTTCAACAATTGACATGTGAGGCTTGCGGTTTTTTTTTCAAGTTTATGGCTTCAGCCTGCTCTTCTCTTTGAGTCAAGAAGATCAAGACGAAGCAAACCAAATGTCAACGAAGCCTGGAAGCCAGCAGCGCGAGGGTGGGCCATGGATAGAATGGTGTCAATTTCTCGGGAGAACAAACCAAAAAAGCTCACATAGACAGCACTGCTAAAATTCAAGGCTAGATGCAGCAGGCCGTCTAGGGTCGGGGGGATGATAACTAAGAAAAAAAAAAGTTTGTGGATGAATAAAATAAGCGCCCATGACAAGTCGCCGCTGTTGCACCGTGCGACAGCGTGCATGCCCAACAATAAGGTCCGAAAAGAAAGTCAGTAGCATGAAACCAACTGGGTGGGAAACAGGCAGGCCGGCGTGTGCGCGAAAGCAACACCAAGCTTCAAGGTAAAAAGCCAGGCAGACACGGGCATAAAGTTGAAAGGAGATAGATATCATGCAAAATGGAAAGCAAAACTCAACAAACGGAAACTAAAGCCTTAAAAATGGTTCGAGATCGATCCAGAACGAGGAAACAAGGAAACGCATTGAAGGAAAAAAAAGGGGGGGAGACACTCACGCACTCACACCCACACGAAAACAAAAATCAGAAGCCCAAAACAAGTGCATAAAATAAAGTGTTCTGAGTGAGGCAAGGCACAGATCAGACTCAATAGATCGGGTGCCCATCAACTAGGGCTCTTCAAACTCGGAGACGTTGGTCAAGGTGCTGACGTTTGTGAGGCGGGCTGGATGTCCGGAAGCTTGTTCGTCATCGGCATCACCACCACCGTCAGTTTCGTCGTCTGCATCTGGGTCGCTGATATCAGTCATGACACCCTTGGTATTCATGCTGTTGAGCTTGCGCTCTGTGGAACGCAGGGCTGTTTTGACATCGTCGATGGAGAGAAGGCCATCACCTGAGATGTCGAGTTCGTCAAAGCGATCCAGAATGCGGCGGATGATGTTTGGTTTGACGACGCCGTTCAGGACGAGGAAAGCGGCCAGAAACTCAGCCTTGTCCACATTGCCGTCGCGATCCATGTCCAGGGCATCGACAATGTCCTTGGTCAAGTTGACGGACAGGGAGTCGAGCATTTCGTGGCGCATGATTTGGCGGCTGATGAGGCTCGAGGTCCAGGAGAGAACCTGGAGCATGAAAAAGAAGAAAACGACAATGTAGATGATGGTAAACCACATTCCACCGACAAACTGCTCCTGCACCAGGACCGAGGTGCCGTTTGGGAAGGTGACGTTGGCTTCGCGATAGGAGGGTACAACGTCACCAAAGCCCACGGACATGCCGGTGACGACGCTCCAGTAGACGGCGTTGATGGGTCCAAAGTTGAGAGCATGTGTGGCAAACAAGACTCCGACCAAGAGGAGAATGAAAATGCCAATGCCGCCCATGATGACGGTTTGAAGGTTTGGTGGCAGGCGATGCCACAAGCGGCGGGTCCAGTGGCGTGCGCGATTGGCGCGCCAACTACGGCGCTGTTGAGAGGGCACTTGAAGGGCACGGACGGACTCTTTGAAGCGGGAGGACATTTCTTGCGTGGCCGCTAGGCGCGAGCCGCGATTGGCTTGTACGCTGATAATCAGCGTGAACAATCCCACACCCTGCAAAGATGACGCCAGACACGGGGGTGCGACGCATCCAAACATGAGCATCCAGGCCAAATCATTGGGATTGGCCCATTCGAAGCGCATCTCGGCTTGGTTCGGCAGGGCGGAAAAAAAGGGATGCATACCATGAGAGCGTAAAAAGCCGTAAAAAGTTTACCACCTTCTGTGATGGGCACAATGTCACCATAGCCTGTGCGTGCCGTGGTGTAGCGTGCAAGAGGCAGCGTACAAAGTGGTGAGTCAAGTCAACGACGGCAAACAAAACATGGAACGGTAGGTGAATTGACGTGGGGTTGGACACGCACCGGTGGTCGTGCTGATCATCATGATGACGTAAAGGCTTTCGGTGAAAGTCCAGCCTTCAAGCTCAATGTAGGAGACAATGCCGGCGACAAAGTAGACGACCACGTAGATCATGATCAGGAGGTCGATGCCGGTAAAGTGAGGACACCGGCGAGTGGGTTTGGTGGCCTGAAGGGTGGCAACAGCAGTCAGATTGTTGGTGCTTCCCGGTTTGCTACGGGCTTCGTGAGAGCGCATCAGGGCGGCATCGGCGGCTGGGGAGGCCGGCGCTTCAAGGCCAGGCTCTTCGGGTCCAATGTCGGGCGGCGCGGGCGCAATATCAGGCGGAGGCTTGGACATTTCCGTCATGGCGATGGGGCTTGAGGCCAACTGCGTCATGTTGAACAAAGCAGGGCCTGCGGAGGCACGCAAGGGCGGGAGGTGCGTGTTGCTGCGTGTGGCAGACGGTAATGGCCATGAGCCAAAGGGTAGGGGGAGTTTGGGTCTTCAGCGCGGAAGCAAAGTTGGCCACGCGCACGACTTGAAACGGTCGAGCACCAGGTGAACGTGACCAAGGAAGAGTTGAACCTAAGAGAGAGAGAAAAAGAGGGAGAGAGAGAGAGAGAGAGACAGGGGGCGATGGTCGTTGACACGGTGAGATGAATGCTGGTTCAGGTGCGCGCGCATGGAGGAAGAGAAGGAGCAAACGGACGGGGGTGTCGACCAACAGAAAGAG